ATAATTACTGTTACTTTCTTAATTCTCTTAATGATTCTTCATTATGAAATTTTGTAAATGTGTTTACATATTCCAATGTTTTTTGATAAACACTATCAAATTAAAAAAAAAACAACAACAAATTATATTAAATATTAATATTGATTATGAATATTTGCTAGCCATATTAATACCAACTCTGTATTTTTTTGATTATCAGGAACTCTTCCGATTAAAGATGCTACTTCTGACACAAAAAGAAATTCTTCATTTTCAAAATCTTTTGATAAAGTATAAAAGGTGTAAAAATTTTAAAAAACTGATTTATTTGATATTCTTGATTTTATTAAACCAACCTTCTCCGAATTTTAATTTAGTTGCATCTTCTTCCTCTGGTAGTTTTTTCTTTCCATGAAGAGGTCTTTGCGTTGACGATGACATTTATCTATTTTTATTTTTTAACAGATAATTTTTTGTCATTATTTATTGGCTAAAAAATCGTTTATATTTGTTTGTGCAACATAGCGTATGTGTATTATTTATTATATTAAATATTCTTTGGCATGTGAAGTAGCAGCTCATAACTTTTGTACTTAAATTGATAAACCAAGAGAAAATATTGCTTTTTGTTTTGCAGTAAATCATTGTCACTATCTGATTTTATAATATTACAATTCATTCGTTACTTGTTTTATTATTAAGTTAAATTATTATTTATTTTTTTAAAAGAACATCGCGACAAATCTCACTGGTTCGTTGTAATCAGTGAACCTGCAAAATTTCATTCTAAGATGGATTATAAAATAATAAAATATTTTACCCTCCAAAAAAAAAAAAAATAAAAAGATTTTTTTTTTTGTACAATATTAAACACCAGTTTGCATTTCATCCTCATCATCATCTGATTTGTCTCCTCTAAAGCGTGGATTCTTTTCACGATCTTGCCCTTGATCATCGCTATCTCTTTCACGTTTTTTTGACTTAGTTCCTAAATATTTATTGTAACAACAGCAGCAACAACAATAAAAGATGTTGATTAACAAATAATATTGTAGCATTTCAAATCTAAATTATTAATATCCTCTTTATATGAGTGTACCATTACCTTTGCCTTTGTATTCACCAGCACCCTTAGGAATGGAGGTGATGGCTTCATATTCATCCTTTTGTCTTCTTGCACGTTCTGCTTCATTTTTTGCACGAAGATGCCCCCATCCACCACGTCCTGTATCATAATCTTGCCTATATTCATCTCTGACCTTTATTTATTTATAAAATATAGATTGAATTATTTATAACATAAATAAATAAATAAATTTTATAATATATATATATATATTATATATACCTGACCACCAGATCTACCTCTTCCAAATTGTCTCCCATCTTTATACCCAGGATCTAAATCTGTTCTAATAATTCTTTCATCTAATTTGGTGCTATTAATATATTTCATACAATCTAATGCGTCTTGATGTGAATAATACCTTTACAAAATAATTACAAAAAAAAATTTTCAAAGGTTAATTAATATCAAGTACTCTTTTTTTTTTTCTTAAAAATAAAAACTCCAACTTACTCAACAAAACAAAATCCACAAGGTGTTCTTTGAAACTTATCCAATCCCATAATTATCCTCTTGATTTCTCCTGCTTTTGAAAATAGTTCATAGATCTGTTCTTCTGTTGTATAAAATGATAAATTTCCAATATACAAAGTTGTACTGTTGGATAGATCTTTGCTAAGTTCTACAGTAGATCCCTAATTTAAAAATAAAAATTTTCTGATTATTAGAGAGATTTAATTGAAAATTTCACTAAAGAAAAGAAAACTTTGAAGTACTTGATACTGATGATCTTTGTATGATGAAGGAACACAAAGAGGAAGAACAATGTTAGCCATTATATATTCCTTATATATATGAATAAGTGTTTATGTTAAAATATATTAATATTAAGCACAATTATAGTTCAACTTCATTTACTGTTAATTATTATAAATAGTCATGTGCAAAAATTTTTATAGATAAAATAAACAATGAAGTTAGCGACAACTTAAATTGACCCATTTATGATTCGCCTATTATTGAGTAAATCCCGTTACACTAAATCAGGAAGATCCAAATCCTAATTGTGGCATCGTTGCTGCTGCCACCAGCTAAACATATCCTGCCGCAATTTAAAATAGCAGCAGAGAAGTCAAATCCAAGTAAGTCACAATTATAAACGATCAGGTCTCTCTCCATAAGTTTTCGTATGCAAAAAAATGTCTCTTGTGTTACAGGCAGCATTAACATCTCGATTCCAATGTGTCAGACAGACTGATTTGCAGACTCTGACAGACCAGAATTTTTTGATGCTTATCAAACCACCCACCACACAAAGAATAGACTGAGGAAGTACAGAATTCACCACCTTGCAGTGTCTAGAAAACTCTCGGCGAAATTCTTTTACAGGGTTAGAGCATGCCCACATGATGTTGATGAGAATTTACCATCACCAAATGCAACAACTGTACTGTCACCATTACTATTTGTT